TAATATACAATACTATAATATGCTATACTATAATATACTATACTATAATATTCTATACTATACTATACTACAATATTCTATACTATACTATAATATACAATACTATAATATTCTATACTATAATATACTATAATATTCTATACTATAATATTCTATACTATACTATAATATGCTATACTATAATATTCTATACTTTACTATAATATACAATACTATAATATTCTATACTATAATATACTATACTATAATATTCTATACTATACTATAATATACAATACTATAAAATACAATACTATAATATACAATACTATAATATACTATAATATACAATACTATAATATACTATAATATACAATACTATAATATGCTATACTATAATATACTATACTATACTATACAATAATATGCTATAATATTCTATACTATAATATACAATACTATAATATTCTATACTATAATATTCTATACTATACTATACTATAATATTCTATACTATACTATACTAAAATATACTATACTATATGATAATATACTATAATATTCTACACTATAATATACAATACTATAATATGCTATACTATAATATAGTATACTATACTATAATATACAATACTATAATATACTAAACTATAATATACTATAATATACAATACTATAATATACTAAACTATAATATACTATAATATACTATACTATAATATTCTATACTATAATATACTATACTATAATATTCTATACTATACTATAATATTCTATACTATACTATACTATAATATAATATACAATACTATAATATGCTATACTATAATATTCAATACTATATTATACTACAATATATCATACTATACTATAATATACTATGCTATAACATACAATACCATAATATACTATACTATAATATTCCATACTATACTATAATATACTATACTACAATATACTATAATATACAATACTATAATATGCTATACCATAATATTCTATACTATACTATAATATAATATACAATACTATAATATTCTATACTATAATATTCTATACTTTACTATACTATACTATAATATACTATTATATTCTATACTATAATATACAATACTATAATATTCTAAACTATAATATACTATAATATTCTATACTATAATATTCTATACTATACTATAATATGCTATACTATAATATTCTATACTGTACTATACTATACGATAATATACTATACTATAATATTCTATACTATACTATAATATACTATACGATAATATACAATACTATAATATTCTATACTATACTATACTATAATATGCTATACTATAATATCATATTCTAACTGAGTTTTTGAATGATGACTGGCTTTACTGAGGACAGTCCATCCTTATACTAATACTCAGAAGGACATGGGCACTGTGTGTGTGTGTGCGCGTGTCTGTCTGTGTGTGTGTGTGTGTGGGGGTCAGCAACGGGAGTTTGGTGACTGTTGAGCCACATCTTCACAGAGACCTGACTACATCGTGACATCCCAGATCAAGCAGCACTTGGCAAGCAGACCGCATTGGCCATGATTTTTATTCCAGAATTTACAAGACTCGTCCCGGCATGGGAAATATATTGTAATATTTATGATTACAGATAAGAAGGATGTATAATAACAACACAACATCAAAACAAAACATGACTCAAATTTGACCAATGGAAACTATACTAAAAAGTATTTAGTTTTTTTTGCGTTGGCTGACACTTAATCAAAAAGAAGGTGGTGAAGATGAGCTATTACCTGCAGCTCGACATTAAGTCGAGGCATAGAAGCTGCTCTGCCCTGGTTCTCCAGACCTGAGCCAGGGACCGGGATCGTGCTGCTGGCACCGGTCTCCATCTTCCTCATCTCCACCGATTCCTGGACATACACTCACACAAACCCACTCCCATCAGCATCATTAGGTGTGTGGCGGTGGAGTAGACTAATCGTTTCTTTATTTCACCTTAAGACACAGTATTCTTCAGCAGATGTTTAACAGCTTGAACACTTAGAGCTGCATTAAGCAAATGCGGGCGGACTATTCGATCAGACTCCCAGACACACACGGCAATGCTTTAGCAATGTTCAGACAAACTCAGCTCACCCTACAACATCTATACATAACATACATTTACTCAGCAGTTACAATAACAGTTATTTAATTACATTTTTAACAAACATTTTGTCACTTCCCATGACTCAGCCAGACAAAATCTGCAGTCTCTGGAGACACATGAAATAGTTTGTATATACACAGCTGTACGTGTGTACAACAATGAGTTAAATACATTTTGACATTTACAGCAATGTAGGAAATGTGGCCGTCTACAGTACCTGAATGACGACAGTGTCCGGTGTGTCCTCTGATGGGCCCCTGGACATGGTTCTCTTTGTCTTAGCTCGGGGTACTTCCTTGGGTTTCTCCATCACCCAGGAAGATGACTGCTTGATGTTGTGGTCATGTCCTGGCCTGTGTGTTGTAGCAGTCACAGCTCAGCATTATAATAATAACACAGTGTAAATTTAGGTCAGAGGTTTATAATTTCACTTGCCAAAATGCAGTGGCAGGCCGTGCATTTTATACCTAGGCCTTCACTGCTGTCCTGCAGGTGAAATACCACCTTATGACCACATGATGGCGCCACAGCTATTATTCGTTTCTAAGGCTGTAACTATATATGTATTCATATTAAACCGTTCGGTACGAGGCTTACGAACCTAACAATATGTTTGATTAATACTAGAGCATTTTGTAAATTCATAAGCTTAAATTCAGGAAAATATAACAATTTCTGTGCTCATGTAGGACAGTGGTTCTCAACTGGTCTAGCTGTGGGACCCACCATCATCATCATTCCTTAATGACAAGTCACGGCCCCAGAGAGATCGACTTATGATTTTACTTTCACAACTTGAACATTGAAGGTACTGCTCTGCAATGTCTTTCCTCGTCTCAGCCCCTGTGTCACGGTGTGTGGTACATCTCACTCGATTCAGGAAACGTGTCAGAATGCCCATATTTGATTGGCTGAGCTGCATCACGTGATGTGATTCACAACGCAGACTAAGCCTCTGCTGTTAAGTTTCGTTTCACGATAGTCACGTGCTCGCCCACTGACCAATCACAGCACAAGCTGTATCTCACTGCAGAGCTGCACATGGAAACTGAGCTGCACGTAATGCTGACGTAGCTATATGCCGGCTAGCAGGCGCTGACACGTCAAAGAATACGCCCAACATGTCAAACTAAAGATCTGATTGGTTGAACACTATGACCAATCAACAATATCGTCCCCATTCACTTAAACTGCACATGGATGCACTTGTGAGTCTGCAGGCCTCGGGCCTCTCTTCTTACCTAGAGACACAGAGGTGAAATCTGATTGGATAAAAGCTCTACTTAAAACAAGCTGCACTGGAAGCAGAGCAACTGAGGAAGACAGTAGCTGTGCAATGAGAACATAAGATAATGGGGAAAATATGTTTATAAGTTATAATACATGTAGTGTATTTAAGAAAAAATATTAAATTATAAAATAGATATAACTTTGTGATTCTGTTTAGGCCAGCAGAGAAGGCTTTGCAGGCCCTGACGGCCCACCACTGCCAAAATGGAACTTACTTTGACAACTTGATAACATTTCATTATTTCTGTCAAGGGAGTTCTGGACAGGACCCAATAGCAGACCACGAGACAGGATTGAGGAAACGAAAATACTTTATTTTTAGAAGTTCCAGCATGCGGGATCGACGGTGTGGTTCTCCGTGGACCAATACCGGAAGACAGGCAGGATACTGTATAGATCCCTTGGTCCGACACAGGGTTGCAGGCAGATCGACGGTGTGATGTTTCGTGGATCGACACCGGAGGCAGGCAGATTAACAGGTACTCGAGGCAAAAGACTGTACCGGGTTGTCCCAGCAGATACAAAGCCAACTAGGGTGGGTGGAGGGGGTCCGGAGGAGGGGTGACAGTGGATCTGACAGAAGGCTCCGGACACAGGTGCTCCGGCGGACGGCCAGACTGCCGAACTTGCTCCGGACACAGGTGCTCTGGCGGGCCGGACTCGGACTCTCGGAGTCGGGGCTCCGGGGAACAGGATGCTGGCCCAGCGGCGGGGAGAACTGGAGGTCGATGCGACTCAAAGGCGGCAGTGGCGGGAACTGGAGGTCGCTGCGACTCGAAGGTGGCAGCGGCGGGAACTGGAGGTCGCTGCAACTCGAAGGCGGCAGCGGTGGGAACTGGAGGTCGCTGCAACTCGAAGGCGGCAGCGGCGGGAACTGGAGGTCGATGCGACCCGGAGGCGGCAGCGACGGGAACTGGAGGTCGATGCGACCCGGAGGCGGCAGCGGCGGGAACTGGAGGTTGCTGCGGCTCAGAGGTGGCAACGGCAGGAACTGGAGGTCGATGCGGCTCGGAGGCGGCAACGGCTGAGTACGGGGATAGCTGCGGCTCTGAGGTGGCGGCGACCAGGTCCGGGTATAGCTGCGGCTCTGAGGCGGCGGAGGCCGGGTCCGGGGATAGCTGCGGCGCTGAGGCAGCAGGAACAGTAACTGGAGCTCGCTGCGGCTCCGAGGTGGCAGCTCGATACGAGTCGGGCGGAGTGCCGTCCGAATACGGGGAGCTGGAGACGGCCGAACCACCGAGTGTTCCGCTACACTCGCTTGGCCCTGTCTCAGGCTAAGAAGGCGCTTAGCCGCATAATAATCGGAGTCCACCGGAGGATCAAAAACCCCCCTCAGCTCCTCCACAAAGTCCACATAAAACACGGTATTAGGCTGATCAAAAGTTAATGTACTCGTGGCCCAGTCCAAAGCCCTTCCCCGCAGTAATTTCTCCTCAAAACCTCAGCAGACCAGCTGTAAACAGTGCAAATGGGATTTACTAGAGTCACAAGCAAGGTTGTGGTAGAAACAGGAATACATCATAGAACTACACACTGTATAACGACTATATACACAAATGAAGCTTAAGAGTACATTCAGTCAGGAAGACTTCTCTTTACACTCCTTTTCATTCATAATCTCTGAGTCTCTCTCCCTGTGATTACTCTATCAGCTGATTGTGGACGTTCACATTAAATTAACCAACAAGGTTCTGCACAGTTTCCTTATGCCAATCACATTGCTGTCAAACTTTAACAAATGTTTTCCTGTCTGCTGCAGTCTGTTGTTATTTCAGCACAGGCGGATGTGGCCCTCCTCCACCCCAGTCGCCTCCAGTCAGCATCACAGTCATCCTCCTCCTTCATCATCAGATTGCAGCAACTCCCTTCATCACCACCACCACCAGTGTCTGGACTCCAGGGGGATTAGGCCTTATCTGACCTCAGCATCCCTACTTGTCGATTATCCTACTTCAGGATGGACTCAAATCGCCAAAGACTTTACACTATTCACTTTTTATGCTTGTGTAACAAATGATTGTTACATTTTAATGAAGTCTCTCCTGATTGAACGAAGCTTTTCTTTACTTTGTTACATTTAAGTGAAAGTTTGGCTTTATTGACCTCAGTATCAGCCTTCATCTCACACCCTCTCCACCTGCTCCACTCTCAGGTACCGGCCCTGCTGACCCCCACTTTCCAAGTTTGGTGACTGCTTAATAATCTGCTGCTCTCTTCGTAAATCAGGAATGCAGATATGCAGATTGCAACCGCAAACACAATGAAAACTTCAGAAAACATTTACACAACATCACTATATTAGTCTTCAATTTTTCTTAGGGTAAGTCAGCAGAAAAATACATCTAAACCATCCTTGACAGTGTTTTTACCCTGGATGTAGTTTTAGTCTTGATATGGTACCATAAGTTTTAATTCCTGAAGCGTTGAACTTACAGCGTGCCTCCATTGTTGAGGGAGTTGGAGCTAGGTCTGGTCTGTGGCTGGGACTTGGCATGGGATTTGGGCTGGGGCTGAAGCATGCTGGGAGGCTCCACACTGTTTAACATCATAGGTAGATCTTTCTCCTGCATGTGAGTCAGAGGCAGCAATGGCTTAAACAGAGCCCCGCCCTTGCACTGTGGAGGAGAGACGTATGGCAACATGCTGAAGACATTCAGAGGCAGCAGGCAGAATATTGTTGCACCCAGGTCTGACAGCAGGATCTCAGTGCCACCCAGATGTAGAGACTCAGGCCAAAATATTCATTTTTCACAGTCATGCTCGTAAGAGGTACATCTGTGTGCATCTGTGTGAGTGTTTGTGTGCTGAAACAAACAAATGCACCTGTACAGTAGTAGACACCAGTCAGCAGCCAAATGCAGGTTCATCTTTGGCTGTGGCTGCTAAGTGTGCCTTTAATAACCAATTGCTGTCCACCTTTACACTGAAAACATTAAATTAGCAAAGCTGTTGATGGATTTTGTAATCTACCAATGAATGGCTAGTTGATACAAAAGCATCTTCTGCATGTGTATGCATGCAGGCATACAGTCAAAGTGTGCAAGCATAATATATGTGGGCACATGCATAAAGGTTTGCACTAGTACATCCAATGTGTGTGTGCTTCAGTGTGTGTGCAGTGTGCAGGCAATCGTGGTGTAGATGTTGTACCTGGGAGCCTGACGCGCCCTGTTGCTGCTGCTGCTGCAGCCTCCTCGCTCGATTCTGCTTATAGTAGTCGAAGATCATCAGGGCTGCATAAACCTTCCCTATGGTCAGTTCATTGGCTGAGGAAGTGAAGAGAGAAGACATGATGTGAAGTAAAATGACGGTACAGGGAAAGGACAGGAGAAGAGAGGAGAGGTTTTCAAAGTCCCTTTATTTAACCATTGCAGGGGGCCACCAGATCACTGTCACATCATCAATTTAGTTTATCTAATCAAAAATGAACTATCAGTTCTCCATCCTCCCCCACAGAACGTAATCCCCAAAAAGCCCATATGCGGCTGCAAGCCTGCACATCGTCCATCATCTGATAATAGGCGTATACCACCCTCGGGCCTTCAGCAGCCCATCCAAAACAGGTGCTGGATGCACACTGCCTGTACTCTGAGCCTGGTTCCTACATGTCAGCCAAATGGCCAACTTAGCAGTACCAGACAAAAAGTTCACTGATGTGTGTACAGTCTTCTTCTTCTTAGCACAGTATTTTGGACCAAAAATAAATGAACCCTTCCCTCAGATCAGGATCAAGGTGCGCTCTGTATCTGTTTGTAGCTATTGCTCCATGTAAAACCCTCCACTTGAGGTCTGCTGTCTGATTTTTAACAGAAAGCTTGTACAGAGACCGCCAGCTGCCTTTCGGGCAAACATCTGGACCAAAGAACCCAGTCCAGTGACTTCCTCCTTCCTGCCACTCCCTCACAGCGGGGGTGATGGACAGAGAGGGGCAACAGTATTTAAAACCTTCACTCCATTGGTCACACAGGGTACGATATCCTGCAAACGCTCTCTGTGATTGAGACAGGGCGGCACAGACTTCCTCCACCACTCTGCTGATCACTCTGATAGAGGTGATGTTGCTGTTCTCTCCCAGGACATCTGCAGATGTTGTCGTCATCTTTATCAGATGGCCTAATTTGGTGCAGCAGCCTCTCTGAGATTGTCTTGCAGGCTGACAGATTGCTCTATCATGTGATAACGTGATAGAGTTTGAGTCTGTAAAACGTTTTGAAAAACAAAGGTTCCTCAAACAACCACATTCGAGGAAACTCACTTGTGACTTGTGTGATCTCGAAAATCTGCAGTACAGCGCTGTAATAAGATGATGCCCATGTTCTCTGATTGCGAGAGACAGAGTGCCGGCCAGACCAGAAAAAGTCCAGGATGGCCCTTTGGTTGTCCTCTGTCAGGCCTATTGGTGATGTCACAGTAAAGAGTTTGTGCCATAGAGTCGAGGCGACTAAGTTATTGGCAACCAGAACTCTTCCTCTATAGGACAACTGGGGTAACAACCATTTCCATTTAGACAACTGAGCGCACACTTTCTCCTTCACTCCATCCCAATTCTTAGCTTGAAACTGTGGCCCAAAAAACTCCCAGAACTTTCGGCCCCCTTTCTTTAGACCACTAGGCAGACTGGGATCGGCCTGATCCCTCCACTGTCCCACCAACAAGGCTTCACTCTTAGCCCAGTACACCTGTGCAGATAAGGTCTTTTCATACAGGGACAAGGTATCCTGCAAACACTCAACGTCCTCCTGGCTGGAGACAAAGATGCAAACATCGTCTGCATTATAAACAGATACAGCAGGAGGATGAACAAGACTTAAGGGCCCAGGCAGTAAGAAACCACTGAGCCGACCTGTCAACCTGCATAGAAAGGGCTCAATAGCTAAACTATATAGTTGACCTGAGATAGGACAACCTTGTCTTATCCCCCGCTGTACAGGGATTGGCCGACTCAGCCCTACGCCTGTCTTCACCAAACATTGAGCACCACTGTACAATAAACCAACCCAAGCCAGAGACTATCACCAAAACCAAAACCAACAAATAAGAGTGATCCACCCCGTTCACTGCTGCCAAAAACGCTCAAAGCTCTTGCAGAATACGCCGTCTTGCAGGAGCTTGTTGTTAAAGAGCCAGTAGGACTTGACCCTTTCACCTGATGAAATGATCAGATCTATAGTGACAAGGTGGTGGTCACTGAAGCCAACTGGACTCATAGTGCTGTAAACTAATCTGGAGCTAAGACTTTGAGAAATGTCGATCCTGTTTAATCTGGCTGCACTCACCCGGTTACTGCTGACCCTCACTATTGGATGTTTTACTCTTCAATCGTCTAACAGGTGTGCAATGACACTGTTAAGGTTCCTCACTTGTCCTTTCTACAGTGAAGTCTAGAGTGCAGTCAGAATCACCACCAATAACTAATTGATACTGATGGTAATTCCTTCATTTTTTAGGATGGTGAAAAAATCGACTCTTTCTGTTCCCTGGTTCGGGACATATATGTTAATGAAGCAAAACACAGAGCTCTCTATTTCTGCCCTGACAATCAGCAGCCGACCCTTCACCACCTCAGTAGAGGAAAAGTTGTTCTAAACAGAACAGCAGTGTCTCTTGCATAAACCAAACATCTCTCTCCAACCATTGATGTTTAACGACCCTATTAAGGCTTCGCATGGAGAGGTCAGAGAAGAGAAAGAAAACAGACGAGATGAAACCAGCAGAGATCTGTGTTTCTGTTGGAAGTTTCACAAACAGAAACTGTATCTGACTCAGAGTCATAGTCTATGTCTTCTCCGCATGACACCTGGCTATTAGACACACCCTGTTCTCCGTGTGTGATCACAGTGACATCTCTCCCTGCAACACTTGTGGAAGCTGCGTCCTCAACGTTTTCTGCTGGGTGTGGTTGTACTTCACCATGTAAGAGCCATCACCGCCATCAAGACCTGCTGCCTCAGAGACTAACCATGCTTCAGTTTGAGATATTTACATCCCAAACTCACTGTTGTAAATCCACTGGCAAATTGACCAAACCTCCAGAGCTCGTTCTCTAACAACTCAATAGATCTAAATGACGGAACACCAGACATGGTGATCCGCGTGGAGGGAGCTGACAGCGGGGAGACATGCACCAATGTGTCCCTGATAAACATGGCGCTCTCTATCAGCTGATAAACGTGAGACAAAAATCTCCCTGCCGGATAGAGGGACGTGGACACTGTCGGAGGACAGAGAGGAGGCTAAAGGAGAAAAGAGGAGAGCAGAGGGGAAATTCTGCTGACTCATTCCTTCCTTCTTGATTAATCTCTATTTACCTGCTTGTCTCCTTAATGGCTACTTAAAAAAAATCTTTACAAAAAATGTACTTCTAACAGAGACAGATTTGATTAATTCACAGTAAGTAATTAAAAAAGATTTGAGGTAAACAAAAGCATCTTGACAGAACTGACGGGACATACCTGATAACATGTCTTTGAGATTAGGGTGGTTTGACCTACTATTTGCATTTGATCTGAGCATTTGTTTGCTGTTACACAAGATGTCACTTTCCAAGGAAGCATTGACGTTTTGTAGTGAACACACTGTAAAATGACTACAGATATTATGTCTTATTACCCTTCACGATAACAATAAACATTTCTTTGGGAGAGTGGTGAGCCCGCCATTATAGTTGGCCTAACACACCATCCTCAGCTTCCATGTCCACTCGACACTTTACTGATGTACACATCACATACCTTTTCCTTTTGTGTTGTGCAAACATTTCAGTTACTTTTGATCAAAAGATCCCTTTGCGTAATCTTTGAGACGGTGCGTGAAAGTCAGGTTGAGATAAGACCAGAGAGCTCAACATGTAGACATGGTGGCATGCTTACGTTTATGTGGTGTCACCAACAGATCCATGGTCTTTTGAGAGAGACTGGGCCACACTGTAGACAACTCCTTCTTTAACACAGCGTCAGATAAGCGCTGGGCGACCATGCCTGGAAATCCACAGAGAGACACTTTAAACCTTGTTTATTAAAACACATGTCAACCTCCAGTAACAGCACCATATACAGTGCTTTAAATGAAAAAGGTGGGAAAGATAGACTAAATAAAAAAGTAACATCTGCTGACTAGTTTATTCTCATGTACCACACAAAGCAAGCAAAGCAGTAAATGAGTTGTTTCTGAGGTGAGGCGCGATGAGAAATCCTCATTGAAAGTGCAGATAGAAGCTGTGAAGCAGCCCAGCACAAAACCGTCTAATGAGTTCAACTGGAAGCAAGATCAGCTTATTTCCAGCTCTGAGAACAATAAATAGCAGATGGCTTTCTGTCACTCTGGCTGGCTGCTAAAGGTACCATTTTACATAACATAACATTTCAAGAGATTTGTCATTAATTTGCTTCGGTTCATCAGTTATGAGGTAACATTTGAAATGCACTACAAAAACTGGCCTCAATTGTTACAGTTAAACAACCTGTCTAAACCTTTAATACCTTTTTAGTTTCCCATATGCTGTCAATCACATTGTGTATGTTTAAGTTTGGTTAGGGGAGCCTGATGCTTTAAGCCTACATTTTGTCTTAAATGACAACCAGATTTCAATCTTAAAGCTGCAGATCATGAACCAATAAAAGCATGCATCATATATAATATGATAAAAGATGTTATTAGCTCCATATTTACTCCCCAATCTACCATCAATTGCATGTCACCTTAAGTCAACTGGTTTGTTTTTTTACATCTAATATCTGAATGGCCCTCCAGTGTGCAGCAGAATGCGTGTTGCTGCTGTGTAGCGTAGCCTCCCAGAACACTTGCGGAGCATCAGCTGTTTTTTGTTTTGTTTTTTTGTTCTGGGTTCAGAGGTCACAGCCCGTTGTCTCCTACGTGAGCACAGAAAACATTATGTTTCCCACAATTTAAGCTTCTACATTTTCCAAATGCACTAGTATTATTCAAACGTATTGTTCGGTTCGTAAGTCTCGTACCGAACGGTTTAATACGAATACGTGTATTGTTACGCCATAGAAACAAATAACCGTAGCTGTGACGTCATCATGACATTGTCCATTGTTACTCCTGTATTTTCTTTTAAATGTCAGCTTGAAAAAACAACTCAACACAGGTCTGATTGGCTTGTTCTGGTATATCTATAGTTTATATAGTTTATCTATAGTTTGTTTTTTCTCAAACCAACATTATTCATATGTTGTGTTTTCTTAAGATGTAAAACCAGAGAGCAGGACATTACATGACTCTATTCTCGTCATTTGTATCTCTTCTATTTTAACGATGTGTGGTGTGTTTCACTGACCTGAGGCCAGTTTGATCTCCAGGGCAGTGCGGATCAGGGCCATCAGGGTGGAGGTGAAATGGACGCTGTTGTCATCAGCGATGGGCATGTTCATTTTGACGAGGCGCTGAGGAGAGTAGATGAGTGGTGACAGAGAGACTTCAGATCACTCAGTGATAGCACCCAGCCCCATCACAACAGACAAGTCACCCAGAGAAATCCATCTGTGTGCTGCAGTGATCCGATACCCTCCATGGCTTCACTCTCTCAGCATAATGTACATTAAAGTTTAGTTGAAAATATGCAAGTTTGGCCATATTGATCAAATGTTACCGAGACTCAGTTCAGCACACAAACAGCCTTCTCTACTAGCACGTACAGAGGAGACAAACTAGACATGTACATTCACTGCTGTTGGCTACGGTATGCACTACGCTGCAAGTCAAAGTGCACTGGTGCAAGACTGACATTGATCGAAAAAAGGGTGGAGAGTAGGCATGTAACGCATAACCATGAAGGTGCATCGACAGTCGCAGGAGCTCGACTCTGTGGTTGCCATCCTAACAATCATCAACTTGCAGTTGAGAGGGTTGACTATGCGCTACATGAAAAGTGGCAGCTAGCAATAAAGAGTGTCCATTCCACCAAGCCTGGGCAGCCTGAGCAGGAAGACTTGGCTCATAGAGAAGTAATGGCACCAGTAGGAGCATATAGAATGCTGTGAGACTGTTGTAAGAGTTGAGCTCCCCTGAACACAGAAAGCATTCACCTACATGTGCTATCAGTGGCAGTGCAGACAGTAAGAACGACCAGAGTCAGAATGAGATGGGGATGAAGAGCTGAGGGACAAACTCAAACACACTCATACAACCACACCAATGTGCATGTGGTCCCACATTCACCAACACACACATACACGCACAGCTGCAGGCTGCCCAGTTAGACAGACAGCAGTATAGACCAACGTGATCTCACAGAGATCTCTTAACAGCGCATCGCATGACGGTGGCCAGTAATGTGTAGAAGGCATGCTGCCACCATGGAAACTATTCAATGTTAGATCATCTAGGCAACAAAACGACATTTTAACGGAAATTAAATGGAAATTAATTTAATGGAAATAAAACATCATGGTTTGGGTTCAAACAAACACCTTGGTTATGATACTTCTTCCGTCATCTGTTTCATTTCAAATAATTCAGCTTTGACTTGTTGTTTCACCGGGGACACCAACACTGGTCTCATGGGTGAAAGTCCCATGTCTGACCCTTGACCCACCCTCCTCCTTATTTCTGTAGACTCTGGGAATGTGTGTGTCCACCACAAAAAAGGAAACGTAATTGACTTTAGATTGACAATGTTTCTGTGGTTTTGGCACGTCATTTTAACCAGTGTGTGCCACAAAAACGTCATGTGCTGGTCATCGTCATTTCATGTATTTCTGTGAGACCAGGCTGATTCAAAAGAGAAGTGTTTTAAACCAACTGCTAGTCTAAAAATTCAGAGTGAATGAAATCTTATATTTGACTTCAATCCAATCTTTACAGCCACATTGTGTCCACGTGGACTTTATACGACCCCATGTACACCTGGTATCATCTCCATTCTGCTTACAATGTGAGTGGATCTCAACATGCATCATTGGGTAGGCGGAGCCTGCTGACTTAGTCAACTAATATGCTGAATCTCAAACTTCCTCTGTATATCATTTCCATAGTAGTCTATTGGCTCTATGGCCCCAGACAAGTGGAAGCCTGGAAATGTTTTTTGGCATGTTCCAAAGAGTAAGCTTCAATTAGAAAGAACCGGGCGTATACTTTACAAGAGACCCATGGAAGGTGTGGCTACTGGTCCTATAGCCCTGGTGTGTTCTCTATTTGTGTGTACGCATTCTGTCCTCGTGCTGTTCCAAGAAAACCAACATTTTCTTGCTGGGGATCAATAAAGGCTCATCTGAACTTCTCTTCAGCAGGCTAATGTTCCCTTTCCTGTAAGAAGCTAATCGGAGTCCCTGAAGAAGCTCGTTAACACTACTGCTAGCTCAGTCATGTGACCGTGGTCCAACACGTCATCGCTGTCAACACTTTCAACTTGTTGAACAAATCTTAAGAATGTGATCACAGAGTAGAAATGTAATTTACTTCTGGCTGAGATCGGATCGCAATGTAGCCAGACCACTGCGAGATAAGATATCCAGATACGGATCACTTGTTCTCATCAGGTGGGCATGCTGTCTTTCTCTCAGTTATCTCAATCAATATTTAGCCAAAAATAAATAAATGTGTAAAATAAAAAATCACATTGACATATCTGTATTAATGCTGTGCAGCACGACCATTCTAATACAAAAACAAATGCACGCAATAGCACACACACACACACACACATAAATATGTCTAACAGTGGATGGACTGTGATGAGATGTGAGAGAGGATGAGACGGAATGGGAGCAAAGATAGAACCACAAAGTGAAAAGCACACAGAGAAAGTATTGCTCCCACAGAAAAGCAACAGAAGCTACACATAAACACACACACACACACACACACACACACACACACACACACACACACATAAACACACGCACACACACAGACTGCTCCACAAAAAAATGTAAAACTCGGGCATACCATTTAAATGAAATGATAATAATCATATGACACAAGGGAGCAGATTTCCTCCATAAACATAATATGATATGCTAATTAACATAGCTTTAAGTCTTCTTAGTGAAGCTCCATGGTTATTATGGTTAGTGATGGTATTAGCCCACACTAAGGAACAGTAAAGACAGTAAAGATGAGGTAGGGACTTCTCTAAAATATCAGAGCGCTAGCAAAACAAAGCGAAGAAACGCGGGAACACTGCAGAGCACAGACATTGGCTTGAGTTCACGCCAGTAGGAGAGAGATTGTTGAGCAAAGGGAAGAAGGTGGAGGAAGAGGAGGGTCTACCTTGTAGGCGACTCTTGGCGGACATTTCTTTCCCAAACCTAAGGGTGGGGACATGTGGAGCAGCATCTGATACATATCGAAGTACTTGATGCGGCCACTTCACAGGGTAGGAAATAAAACAAATGCAAACAGAGGAGGATGGGGAGTTAGAGAAGGAGGAGAGGAACAAAGGGCAGAAACCAACAAAAACAAGAGAATAATGGAAGGGAAAAACAGAAATCTGTTAATAGATTTCCCAGAGTGAGATGTGAGGTGGATGCCATCCTCGGCCTCAGTGTCGGGGCACAGGGATTCATCAATGTGGAGCTCAGGATCCCTGACAGGAGATATGGAATGGTAAAGAGTGAGTTTGGTAGGAGAGGGGAGGAGGGCAGAGAAGGAGGGAGGATGGGTTGGCCCAACACACAGAATGCTGATGGGAGGGAAGAGAAATGACAGCATTGTAACGGGGATGTCTGCCTCAGCATGCTAGCAGACATCCCACTGGTACTTCAACCAGGGTGCACGGAGACAAAGGTTTCAATGCCAGCCCAAGCTCTGGTTGGGGGCATAGCCTGGCTTCATGAAAACGTCATATAACATTTTTCATTAAGCTTTTGATCTGATTCAGATTTTTTAAAGACAAGTCAAATCAATTTGTATTTGTCTAGCCCAATACCACATAACACAAACCTGCCTCAAGGCTTCACAGTCTGCACAGAATGCGACTGCCTCTATTCTTAGACCTCCGATGTAGTGATGGAGGCTTTGGAGGTTTAAAGCACGTCTGCTGTGGAACATCACAGGCAGGAGGAAGTCGGCATAGCAGACAATAGTAGGACAATGTTGTGGCTTTGAAAGCTTTGTTTCCACTCCGGCATCATCAACCAAAGCCAGTCAGCTTGAGGGGCGGGTGCTTGTGTAAAGACGATTTCATTGGTGCACAGCCATTCAGTTAAGTCTTTTGGCATAGAGGTGCACAAAGCACCCTAGTAACGGTGTGGTATTTGCAAACCTTGTATGCTACCCTATTAGGGCAGTTCTTCCCTAAGCCAAGGGGGGGTGAGATAATGCGTAACAAATTGTACATATCCTTATAGGAAATCCGTCCGCTGTGGAAAAGAACAAGCACATAAATACACAAACATTCAAGACAGCTTAAAATAAATCAATAATCATCCGTGGGCTGACTGCGTACAACAAGGTAAGGAACAAGGCTTGTGTATGACACCTCATTTAGTCACCTTAGTCTCACGGGAATGGGGAAGAGAGGAGTAAAGTTAGGCTATCTGTTCACCACACTTTACTTTGTATGCCACTCTCTGGGGCCCAGAGGGAGGTGTGAACATACCATGCAGCCGGATCGTACTCGGCCCAAACCCGGATGAACTCATCGAGGTGATGAGGTCCAAGGATGGAGGAGTCTCTGGTTAGGTACTCAAAGTTATCCATTATGACAGCCACAAACAGGTTCAGCATCTGGAACACAACCATGAAGTAGAGTTTACGCCTTCACCTGGTCGCAGCAGTAAAGAGTTCATTTAATTTAACTGATCTCAATGACATCGACATGAGCAGCTGAACCGCTAGTGGATCAAATCAAATCTCCGACAGTCTTTGAAGGAACAAACAGCCTTATAGCATTATGTTGTAGCATTTTAGCTGTGTTGAACCATCCACTTGTATATAACGCTGCTCTATCGACTAGCAGGAGAACAATTTTAAAATATATTTCAGAAGGAGCATATACTACTATCTACATGCATGCACATTATCACTCAATGGCCTCCAACATTAGTGAGAGAAATGCTTCCTCGTTATTTATTATGTGGAGCAGAACATCACAGCACGCTATCACCAGGAGGATGAGCTCTTTTTATTTCAGCAAGATTCCCTCTTTGCTGAGAGAAGCGCTTCTAACTTCAGGTCCAGCTAACGTAATACCAGACAAATGGCTTCATTCAAACCACAATAGCAACACTGTGGATAGTGGATGATGACAGCATGTCCACAGCTGCTGAATAACAGTGAAACATCAGCATTGTTCTTTTCTCTTGTCTTCATTTACATATTTAGTGTTAGATAATCCAAAAGTAACAGAAAGTAATCAAGTTAGGTTACTTGTGGTACTGGGGTTAGGTTACTGACTTCATTAGTATTTGTAGTGGAATATATCTTTAAGGAACCCTCCCAACCTTGATCACGATGATATCGTCCATTTATTGCTACTCACTGTATGAAAATGACCTGATATATAAAAGTGATATCAAACATTATTCCTTCAAATGCATCAAAGTATCATGTGTTGAAAACTTAACTTAACAAGTTAAAACAGGTTTTCTTTGATCTCTGCACGTTTATAGAATCTAAAACGTACACACTTGAAAATATAGTAATAAACTAAAAGTGAGTCAAATTCCATTTATTGACACTCCTACCAGAGCATCACATGCAACAGCATCCATGAGGTCAACAGTTACAGCGGACACCTTTACTTTCAGTACTGACCAGGAAGGAGCAGAGGAAGATGAAGGAGACAAAGTAGAAGTAGGCAAAATCACTGCCACACCCGTTCCCGTGGGTCCCTGAGCGCTCATCACAGGCTCGGTGACTCAAACAGGATAACATGATCTCGTGCCAGGCCTCACCTGTTGCACTCCTGATGCACATAAAACACAGGCAAGAAGAGAGAAACAAGAGACATGAAGTCCAGCCTCAGCAACACCACGCAGACAAGGTCGCATTCTGTCAAACGATGATTTAATAACATGAGGAAAAGAAAAGTCAGATAACGTCGACTCAACAGAAGTTGAATTGAAAATGTGCAACGTGTGATTGGTTGTTAAACCTTGTTTTATGTTGCTTTATTAATGTCTTACTTAAAGCTTAAATATGTATTTATTAAATAAAACTGAAACCTGATCGCTCACAGGAAGCATCGCATTGAGAGAAAAGGTTTAGTTATGTACTTGTGCTCTTATAATAAAACTAAAATGGAAATGTGAGAATCAGTCTGAAAACCAGTAATTGTGTTGGACTATATGTCTCCAATCAGCTGCGTCATTTGGATTTCAGAGAACAATTCTTCAGGAAGGTAGAAGACGTTTTATACTTAGATCACATGTTGAAAACCCGTCCACTGAGAACGACTGCAACATGCTGCTGGAAGCTTCCCTGGAAGCTGGTAAATGAACTCTGAGTTAAACGCTTTGGTCACACTGGGTCCAACTTTAACACACTGTTAACCACTGTTCTTATGCCAGTATGGGATACAAATGACACATCTGCTATGGTTCATGACAGCACTGGAGGAATGGAGGTGTGTTTATGCAGAACTAGTTATTAGCACCGCTTCTTAACTCCAATTACAGAAGTGTCTCTGCTGCCACCTGATTCCACCTGATTCTGGCGGTGTGACACCCAGCCCATCGTGTTAGATGATGGCAGCAGTCCTCTTCAGGCCAGAAGAGTATTTAAGGAATGAAAGGACGAACATTCATATGGACTATGGGCTATAACAATGATAACATATATATCCAGTGTATATTTGTATTATTCTTGGACTATATCTCACCTTCATTCTGTGAAAATGAGAATGAGACTGAGCAACAGCTCCAGGTACTTGTGCCTTCCTTGATCATTGAGTTGTATGCTACCTTAACTTTACAGCTACACATACTAGTTACTTAGCAGATTAAAATATTGCACATAAAACATACAAAATATGTTCACTGTTAACGATTAACTACCCATCAGTAAAATAAGTAGTTCAAATGGGCTTTGCCTGGTTTAGCCAACATTAAAATATTGCTTACATCAGTAGTAATGATCTCATAATACATATAATAAGGCAACACCTCTGGAGCGGGTGGTATGGGGATGGAAGACTGGGGCACCGTTAATATATCACAAATATATATATATTATATATATATATAACTGACCAGTGGCGGGCCATGCATGTTATAGCTGGGCCTTCAGTGCTGTCCTGCAGCTGAGTCATCTCCTAATAATCTCACTATGACGTCACAGCTACGGTTATTTGTTTCTATGGCGTAACAATACACGTATTCGTATTAAACCGTTCGGTACGAGACTTACGAACCGAACAATACATTTGAATAATACTAGTGCATTTGGAAAATGCAGAAGCTTAAATTGTGGGAAATATAATGTTTTCTGTGCTCACGTAGGAGACAACGGGCTGTGACCTCTGAACCCGGAACAAAAAAAACAGCTGAGGCACCGCGTGTGTTCAGGGAGTCTACACTAAACTAGCTTATCAAACAATAACTCCGCGCATGACGGGATGCTTCCTACGGACAATGCATATAGTCCAAATCTATATAATTAACACAATGACAAGAACAAACTCAGAAGAACCAGTCACATATATTCATATGACAACAGAGCAACAAATCAATCCAGCAGATCTGCAGCAACACGCATTCTGCTGCACACTGGAGGGCCATTCAGATGTTAGATGTAAAGAAACAAACCAGTTGACTTAAAGACAAACTCCATCCTCCTTTCTTTGTTGACTAAGAGTTTAATCCGGTTAAATCACAACTCACTAATCAGTTTCTCCTCCTTCAGCCATTGAGTGTTAAAAAAACAAAGCTAGGTAAAATAATAATAATCTACACCAAGCAAAATGCAAAAAATGTCATAATTTCTTCCATATCTTTCAATTTGAACTCTCACTACTCCGACTAAGCCTCTGATGGCTACTTTAAGTTTCGTTTCACGATAGTCACGTGCTCGCCCACTGACCAATCACAGCACACGCTGCACCTCACTGCAGAGCTGCACCTGAACACTGAGCTGCACGTAATGCTGACGTAGCTATAGGCCAGCTAGCAGGCTCTGACACGTCAAAGAATACGCCCAACATGTCAAACTAAAGACCTGATTGGTTGAACACTATGGCAATCATCAATATCGTCCTCATTTACTTTAATCTGCACTGGCTGCAGGTGAGACTCTGCAGGCCTCTGCCTCTGTTCTTACCTAGAGACACAGAGGTGAGATCTGATTGGATAAAAGCTCTACTTAAAACAAGCTGCACTGGAAGCAGAGCAACTGAGGAACACAGTAGCTGTGCAATGAGAACATAAGATAATGGGGAAAATATGTTTATGAATTACAATACATGTAGTGTATTTAAGAAAAATTCTTAAATTATAAAATAGATATAACTTTGTGATTCTGTTTAGACCAGCAGAGAAGGCCTTGCTGGTCCTGACGGCCCACCGCTGTAACTGACTGATGAGCCCCCACAAAAGAACAGACCCCCTCCCTCGGGTCTGGGAGCTGTTTTTTTTTTAAAAAGGGTTCAAACCCGCACTGGGCTAGCCCCCTCTTCAAACGGTCTGGGGGCGACACAAAGCTGGACCGATCAGTCTAAAAAAAAAAAATAAAGTTGATAATAATAATTAACAAAATAAAATAAAATACAATCGATACAAAAATTACAATAAAAAACAATTTGACCCGGCCTGACTGACCCTACTGTCCTGTTCTGGAGCTCCCTGACGGTGCCCTGGTCCTGGTCTGCTGCCAGTGGACGGGGCCATACTGCTCCTGTCTTTGGGTTTTATTCTGTAATTTATGTAATCTGCCCTTTCATTTATGTACTTTCTTATGGTCTTTCATTTCAAAAGGCTCAGGCACACACACACACACACGCACACACACACACACACACACACACACACACACACACACACACACACGCGCGCACACACACACACACACACACACACACACACACACACACACACACACTCCGAATCACACCGTTCTCCCATACACTGAGTATGTGATGTTTGCTGGCTTGTATCTCACTGTTCTCGTCATCCTCTTGTTGTTATGTTTATGTATTGTCTCTTCTCTTGCAATAAAATTATAAATAATAATAATAAGGTAACACTCTGCATACCCAGTAATATACCTTTGATAATTAATTAATAAAGTTTCTTATACCTGAACAGCAGCATGAGCGCTTGGAGGAAAGTACGGAAGTTGTTGTGGTGATTGATAGCTGTGTCCTCATTCAGCTCAATGTTGCCAAACACCTACAGCACAGAAACAGTGTGGACAATGGATTCGTACAGTCTGAGCAATGTGCAAATTAAGTTTTTCACGTTCAGGCCGAAGCATTTTAATGATGAACTACGATATGAATATCATGACCTGTGTGACCACAGCAGAGCGGCATCACTCACCTGCATGCCAATGATGGCATAAATGAAGAACAGCATAGCAATCAGAAGGCAGACATAAGGCAGGGCCTAAAGGACAGGAAACACATTTCATTAATAACAATAACCATCATAAATCACTCCTTGACTGAAACACACACAGGACTCATACACACGCATGTTGTTGTGGAGAGACGTTAGTGTGATGGGACTGCCCTTGGTTAGCAGCAGCAGCTGGAGATTCTTAACCACGCTTTGACGTAGACAATCCTTCACATACTGGCCTATTCACTCCATGTGTTACTGAAGGATTCCACTAGAGGGCACACCAGAGAACCACAGAGATTCTGGATTCGCATGATGAAAGACGTAAACAATAAACACGGCGAGACTCGACGAGATTACTCAATTGTTAAATCTGAGATCACGCCGCCATTGCGTCGACACTATGTATTAATTTGCATATTTTAGCCTGATTGTCACAAACTTTTAATTTCACAACAGAACACGAAAATATGTTCCTGAAAATACTTTTTGACTTATTGAGTTTGGCGAGTCTGGCGGTTTAAAATCAAGCCTCCAGGAGGAACACCTGGACTTTGAAGCAGATTTTATAAAGTGGAAAAACTGTAATTACAACTTCCGGCCCGTCACAGGGTGCCATTGGGCCCAAAAATACTTCTTCCCATGGACTTGCATTTGCTTCTTCTGTTAACTTGAATGAGACCAAGGCTGGACCGAGGGTTGGGCGGCGTGGTTAAAGGAAACACCGGCGTGCTTGCTCTATGGCCCCATTGATGCGCCAATGAGCAACTTTCTTAGGAATGAACGGGCCCTGCCTCCAACGCTGTATCTAGTTCCTATCTAGAGACTAGAACATTTGATTGGCATCAAAGGAACCTCACTAAGCTGGTTTAAGTCCTATTTATCAGATCAATCTCAGTTTGTATATGTAAACGATGAAACCTCGATGAAGACCAACGTCAGTCATGGAGTTCCACAACATTCTGTGCTTGGACCATTTTATTCACCTTATGATTCCTTTAGGCAACCAGCCATCTCGCTAAACGTCAAACATGTCCTAAGGACATAAAAACCTGGATGACCTGCACCTTCCTGATGTTAAACCCAGACAAAACTGAAGTTATTCTACGACTTACTTGTGGTTCCTAGAGTCTTAAAAAGTAGAATTGGAACCAGAGCCTTCAGTTATCAAGATCCTCTTCTGTGGAACCAGCTTTCAGTTTCAGTCTGGGGGTCAGACACCCTCACCACATTTAAGAGTAGGCTAAAGACTTTCCTCTACGATAACGCTCATAGTTGGGGCCGGCTCAGGTTTATAGTTGGGGCCGGCTCAGGTTTATAGTTGGGGCCGGCTCAGGTTTATAGTTGGGGCCAGCTCAGGTTTATAGTTAGGGTTGGTTCAGGTTTATAGTTAGGGCTGGCTCAGGTTTATAGTTAGGGCTGGCTCAGGTTCATAGTTAGGGCTGGCTCAGGTTCATAGTTAGGGCT